TAGCTAAATATGATTATTCCATTGTTTATGGTGCCTTGGGAGAGTCTAAGTTATTTTGCCTTGTATAGGGATGCTTAAATGACTTTTTGACTTCTGATTTCATCTTGAAAGTATTGTTAGAAAATTGTTGTGCTATTGATTAGCCACCAGATGGTGGTATGATAGAGATAATAGAGATAACATGTACCAGGGGTTTAGCTGTAAGCTAAAATCAGGGGAAAGCCAGTAATGATAGTAGGATACTATTTTTATAGGTTGTTGCATGTATTTGAAAAAACAAGCTGTCATATCCCAAATACAAACCTTATAGGTTTTTTGAACAACAGATACTTCTTGTGTGTTGAGTCAGCATAAGGCAAAAATAGGTAGCCAGAGACACCATTCTTCTCTCTTTTCAAGTAGAAGGGTACCTTGAGGAGCACATCATCTGGAATCGGCATATGTTTTTTAGTATGGATTTTTTTGTTAAGGTGGTGGAATTGTTATCATAGTTCTGTTGCTTAGTAAACTAACTAAAGAGGAAGCACCAACTTTCTTCAGGGCCCAGAAAGAGGGACTTTCATCTGGTGCCATTGACCAACTTACCTGTTCTGGTTGCAGCGTGTTGCCTTAGATGCAATAGGAAAGCCTGAACTTCAGGGTGCAGGCCATCAAAGAACCATCACCTGGACTCATGATAAACCAGGGGAGAAAAGTTGAGTGTGTTCAGCAACATCAAAGACTTCTTTGGATGTGTCTGTCTTTGGCTGCTGCCAGAATTGGGTTACTGGCATAGGTGAGCTGCTCCAGCTCAGCAATTTTTCATTGCCCACTTTCCTGAGGGTTTGAGACTCAGTGCTGCAACTTGCACACTAATGAACTGAACTAAATAAAAGTTGTGTAAATGCATAATACTTAAAAAAAAAAAAAAAAATCAGAATACTGCTGTGAGTATATACACATTTTTCAGCTACTTGCTTCCAGTTTGTAATTACCTCCCGTGTCCCATTTCTTTCTGTGAAAAAGTACTTCAGGCATCCAAAGTGGTCCAGAGAGATTCACAGGACCTGATCTAGACTTCATGAAAGAGATAGAAGAACTTGCAAGGGGATTTATTGAGACCACAGAGAAAACCATGGCTTTAGAAAAGCTATGGGAGGAAAACTCAAAGTTTTCAGGTAAGCTGTGATCTTTCTAACAATGAGTTGCTTTGTCTGTCAGGTAGTGATAACCATCAAACAAAGGAATGCTCTTATCTTAAAAATAAAATGAACAAACTAAAATTTTAGCTATTCTGAAAAAAACCACTTTTATGATTATGATTACTGTGGCCATCATAAAATTATCAGCAAAACAGCTTTCTAAAACTGTGCCCTTCTTTTACTACTTGATAGTTAACAAAATACTGTGAGGGTAAAGGTTTAAAGGTAAGGATTAATAATCTGAGTACATGGTTACTTGGTCTAACATGCATTCAAAAGTAACTTATCAGGATTTAAGTCTTTCTCCTCAGGTTTTTCTGTTGTACTAGAGAGTATAGGGATGGAAAGCCTCAGCAGCTCACACCTGGTGACCTTTAGGCAAACAAGTCAGTCTTGCACTGAAAGAGTGAGACTGGAAAGACCAAGTTCTGATGCTCCTGCTCTGTTCCCATCCATGCTGCGCAGCCTTGCTGCTGTAGCAGGTGGGCATTTAAGACCTACTACTACCCTGTCTTTCTGGCTGAATGTTCAAGCAGAAAGATTTAGGTGAAAGTGTCATTTTCATGTCTGGCTGTCTGGGAGCTAGTACGTTCATCTAGTGCTGATGTGATGATTTTGCCTTTCTGAAAAGCGAATGGTAAGCAATTTCTTTTAAATTGTTTTTGTGATAATAGTAAAGGTATTGGAAAACAGAAAAACAAGTAGATCACTATCTTTCTAGGGTATTAGTTGTTTCACATGCCTTTGCTCCTGTAGAAATGCCCTTTGTGTACTACTTGCTATTGCTTATAAAATTGATTTTTCTGACGTTAATAATGCCTCTCTGTAAAGGAAAATATTTGCTTTTGCAGGGCTCCATAACATCACCGCTTTTCTTACTGTAAGTATTTTTACAGTCTATTTCCAAATTACAGTTCTGGATTTTGAGGCATCTTTATTATAATGGTTAGAAATTTATATCCTGTCAAGTTTTAGTAAACTATGTTTAAAAAAAATTGGTATGCTGTTGAAGGAAAAAATTATGTCTTGTAAATTTGATAGAGGTTCGGTGGTTTCTAGATTACTGATTTAAACCAGTCTAGGTGTATTTGGCTTGCATGGCAAGGTTTTGGCAGCAGGGGGGCTACAGGGGTGGCTTCTGTGAGAAGCTGCTTAGAAGCTTCCCCCATGTCCGATAGAGCCAATGCCAGCTGGCTCCAAAAGGGACCCACCACTGGCCAAGGCTGAGCCCATCAGCGACGGTGGTAGCACCCCTGTGCTAACATATTTAAGAAGGGGGAAAAAACTTGCGCAACTGCAGCTGGAGAGAGGAGTGAGAATATATGAGAGAAACAACTCTGCAGACACCAAGGTCAGTGAAGAAGGAGGGGGAGGAGGTGCTCCAGGCGCCGGAGCAGAGATTCCCCTGCAGCCCGTGGTGAAGACCATGGTGAGG